AAAAAGAACTAAAATCAATTTTTATATATATTTATTTATATAAAATTAGCTTAACAGATATATAATATATATGTTTTTAATATATTTAATGCGTCCGATTCCGGATCCGGATATCCGGACCTTAAAATTTTGCTATCCGGATCCGGATCCTCTTTTCACGGATCCTATATTTTACTATCCTTATTCGGGTCCGGACTCTCCGAATATCCTAATTTTCGGAGTGATTCCGAATGGATAACGGATCGGATCTCGGATAATAATTTCACCCCTATCTTATATGAGAAAATACATAACCTCGTGTTCGACCTCCTTTTGCAAGGAAGTCAGCCTGGACATTACTACTACATGGGATATGAACTAAACTAAAAAATACAAAAAATTGTCTAAACATAATAAATTAGTCAAGTTCCGTACTGAAAGATGACTAATCTAGTGGATGCGGTCATACTGACACATGGAGGCGCTCACTAACGGTGTGTTAGCCAAAGGAAGACTTTGAAAGGTATTTTTACAAATGACTAGAATTGGTGGGCATAAATAAATATACTTCAGAATACTCAAATAAGCCCCACAACTTTATTATACTCAAAATAACCCCAACCGAACATTGTTCCCCATTAACGTCGTTATCAACCTTCAAAGTTTAAACAAAAACACATCCCTCTTCCACAAAACCCTTAAGATTCAAATCCGACGGTCCACCTTCCGCCGCCGCATCGACCGTCAGCTTTTTCCACCTCTCCGCATTCCGTCTCATCTCCTCCGCTTCCTCTCCGTCTCCCATCACCTTCTCCAAACACCGTCTCACCTCATCTCCATCCACGTGTCCTTCCTTCCTTTCCTTAACCCTCACTCCGATCCGCCACATAGCCTCCACAAGCTTCGCCGTCGTGCACTGATCCGCGAATTGCGGAAACGCAACCACCGGAACACCGCTCTGTAAACTCTCCACCGTCGAATTCCAACCGCAATGAGTCACAAAACACCCCACCGACGGATGCGCTAATACCACCGTCTGAGAACACCAATCAACCACCAATCCTCGATCATCTTCTCTAATCAGATCCAGAAACCGA